GCTACTATGAGAAAAAGCAGAGAGAGCAGAACGTTAGAGATTGAACTAACAGATTCTGCAGAGTGGGAGAATAGAGATAGAATGAAGCAGAAGGATGAAAAAGGGGTCCCTATGTCCTCCAGCAGTCTAAGCCTATAGCAGCATAACTAGAGATAGCTTAGAATCAGTGCTGCAGTATAAGGATGTCACAGGGCTAAAATCGTAAAATAAATATATGCATACTAAGGAATTTATGATTAACATTAAATTTTAATAATCTAATAAAAACATTTCCTATTGAATAATAAAAATTACATTCAAAATGTAAAAAAGTAATGGAAAATGTTTAAATTAAACATATGTAATTAATTCCCTCTATATTCATAAATAAACGTGTATTTTTTAGGGAGGTCAATGTTTGAGGTCAATGGTTGAAATGTTTGGAAACTCCTGATCTGCTTTCATTGTTTAGACTTTCTTAGATTTCTTTCTGTATATTGTAATAATTTAGTTGCTTTGTTTTTCCTTAAGGTTGTTATTAGATTTTCTAATCACATTTTTCCATGTTCTGTTATTTAAGCCGTTAGCGGTTTGCTACACTAGTTTTAGTGTGTTTACCTGTTTTTGTCAGTTGTTTTCTAGTCTTTTCTCTTGCTTATTTCAGAGTATTTCTTGGTTGATTTTGTCTTTACTTTAGTTTTAAGAAGATTTTAGCTTATATTCTTGTAAAAATGTAATTTACTGCAGTTGACTTTGTTTTTTTCCAGCTGTTGAAATGGTTGGTATGGGATGGAAAACTGAGAGGAAGGAAAACTTTCCTGAAAACCAAAGAGGGAGGCAGGAAGATACGTTTAGGGACCATTATGTAAAACAAAGTTTTACTAATTTAAAGGAGTTTTTATCTCAATCATTTTATGAGAAGCTACAACCAAAAGAAGTGCTGTGGTCAACAAGGAATAATCAATGGATCATTATTTATACCTAAAACTAATTTGTTTGCAATGATTTAATGAATTTAGCGTGAAAATAATTTTTCAT